CTTCAGCTTGTATCGCCCAGGTATCATAGTTATCTTTATCCCAAGGTTCGATGTGATATGTCGTTTTCGGCATCGTCGTTGTTGCGCGAGTTTAACACTTCACCTCAAAAAAAATTAGATCTTTTTCTTCTCTGCTACCATTTAAAGTTTTAACAATGGTGTCGATTCTAGCATGATTCTCTAAACCTAAACCTTAATTTGACAGCAGTATATCCTTGTCATTTTCTATACAGAATGAAAAGGAGAGACTGATGTTAAATTTAGTTTTAAGTTTAGAGAATTACGCCAGAATTGGCACCAATGTTGATTTAAATAAAGATGTATGCAAAGTAAAGACGTATTTTTATTTAATATTAGTTATCACAATAAGTTTAGGTAAAAAGAATATATTCCAATACAATTTTCATAAGTGACACACAGTATGATAACAAATTAGTAGCTATAGCAACAACCAAAAGGCAATAGACAATATTGTAGAGATGTGGTCTCTTCACGAAAACAACATTTATTTAAAATATATCAAGGTCGATTTTACAAAAGCGCCGCTACAACAGAAACATCACTGCATACTCACCTCATAAATGAAATTGACGACCGACTGTGCTGACACAAACACAAACATAATCCAAACTTCACAAAACAACCAATGTGGTGGCGTGGCAAACGTATTTATTGTTTTATGTACTCAGTAGTCACGTAGTAGACCAAGTAACAGATGGTACTAAGGCTCTTCTAATGATTTGAAAATAAGAATGATTCCAATACAATTTCGACAATTGTGTCTCGTCTCGAGTCTCGGTCTGAAAGTCTCGGGACCAGAGACAACTTTTACAAAAAGTCTCGGGACTTTAGGACACGAGAAGTCCCGGGAGTCCCTAGTGTATACTAACATTAAACAAAAATATTTCGCCTCCTTCTCGGCCCATCGTCTATTTAAAAACAGAACTGACTTTGGCAGGTATGTCTTTTTCTATAAAAAGCGCAACAAATTACTCCACTCGCAAGTCCAGTTGCGAAATTCGCTAAGCGAAATGCGCAGCCACAACCGCCAACCTAATCCTAGATCCCGTGGAGCCCTAGAAAAAGGTGTCAAAATATTAGCAAATGTGTATTAAGATACGATGCTTAAATCTTGTGAAGGTGGTAACCACTTTATGTTCCTTAACCATGAATGATCCTTTTAGCACATACACAAACACACATAAAGTTATAAATGATTTATGTAAAAGATAAAAACGAGCCTTACAGTAGTCGCGTATGATGTGTAACATTTGAACCTTATATAAGTAAAAAAAAGAAATAAAACCTACTACAAAAGGAATAAGCCATTTGAACATTATGTTCTAAAATCAAATCAAATATCGCGCGCTTTCGCGACTTCCTGTTACACACTTCCGCCCCATTTCACGAAATCACTCCCACAAATTGCAGGAAAGCGAGAGGAAAGATGTTACACGTCAAAAAATAGTTTTCCTTGTAACAATATTAATGGCAAGACTAGATATACGAGTACATATGTGTAGATAAAAGACTTGTACTCGTATGTATTCATTTTAAAGAATAATTTTGGGCAGTGTGATATTGCAGGCTGCGTAACCTAAAAGCGCCTACTGACATGCCTGCCGCAGGGATAATCTAGGGTGCACAGCGGTCGGGGCTTATCGGCTTGTCTCTACACACATGCCTGCTATTCAGTGTTCGGGGGCATGTTGAGCTGAACACACGCGTTGATGATGGTCCCAGTGTTATCAAAACATCAGAAGATCGGTAGGCAGGGCATTGGCTTTTACTATGGTGTTACCGCAAAAATGGAAATACTGGGTGAAGAATTGGCAGCAGAAAGAAATTTATTGTAAATAAGTAATGTTTATATTACTAGAAAAAAATCCACGCGGACCTGGCAGCAGACGGGACTCGAACCCGCACCCTTCGCTATCCGGGCGAATGCACTGATCAATTATGCTACCGCGGCCCTGACGGCCGTATCGAATTCTTTCTAGCCTTTCTTATGGTACAAGGCAGCGCCATCTCTTCGCATTATAAATAACCCACAATTCAAATGAATACCTTTACAAGTATTAAACATTTGAAAGACGAAATAGCAATTAATGTAACTGCTCAATGTTTGAATCTAAAGAAAATATTACAAGAAAAAAATTTTAAAAAAAATGGGTGCGTGTACTTTTGTAGGCGCGTGAGAAGTTATCCTTCTTTGGCATCGTTTAAAATTAGTTTTTAATTGCATGCAAATAATTAATTACAATAAATTAATAAAAAGTCTGGAAAAGGACACAGTCCATAAAGTTCAGTTTTAATTTGAAAAAATAAATAAATAATCAAAATATTCAATTAAAATCGCTACTGAATATAATTTATTAGAGCATATGCGTTTTGCACTTGTATGAAACTCAAACACGTATTCCGAATATACAAACTAGAAACATGTGGATAAATATTATAAATATGAATACCTATAACTGTTACTTTATTACAAAAAATAAAGATGTGGTTTTTGGTTCTACTACACCAATGGTCAAGAGATGGCGCTGTAGTTTCCTGAATCGCGCTTTGGTTCCGTTGTTCCAGATTAATAAATACTTTTGATATTATAAATATGAATACCTATAACTGTTACTTTATTACAAAAAATAAAGATGTGGTTTTTGGTTCTACTACACCAATGGTCAAGAGATGGCGCTGTAGTCTCCTGAATCGCGCTTTGGTTCCGTTGTTCCAGATTAATAAATACTTTTGATAGGCCTTCAGAATGCAGTCGTTAGCACCCACTAAATAGAGATTCTATTTTTATTTTGTTGGTAGATTTTTTTAATGTGCGGTAAACACAAAAGTAACAGCATGAAGTTGGTCGCTAAAGCGAAGTTAATTTTTGTGTTACAGTGATGCGCGCGCATCTTAAAATTTCACTCTCATCATTTTTTCATAACGCGCCTAAAGAAGTATAACTTCAAAAACTTTTTCTTTTTTCGTAGTAATATTTTATTTAGATTTAAACATCGAGCAGTTACATGCTTAAAATATAAAACTTATTAAAAAATATATATAAATAATGTTTGTTTTTTTTTATCCCACATCTGGGGCTGGTCTTTATACCTATACTTCCTATACTTCGATCACTCGTGTTCAAACTTCATGCTCATCATGATCTGCCGCCATCTTGATCGAAATACGTGTGCTCCGTGTGACAGCTACCAACCGACTGATTGAGAAATTGCCCCAATCGCGCTACACACGCGGCAACGTGCAGCAGAGCGGCAGGGACAATCTAGGGACCAAGGGTGGTCGCGCGCTCCTGCCGCCCTGCCGCAGGCTGGATTTAGAAAATTGCCCCAACTTGCCTACACACATCACAATGAGGGCTATCGCGTATGAATCCGCCGCTAGAGGCGCTAGTGTAGCGTGAGGTCTCCGAAATGTCAAATGTTATTGCTTGTTGGTTGACTACGTGGGTTTATTTCTAATTAAAATAATGTTGTGAATAATTGGTAACAATTCGACTTAATTATGGCAAATATGAGTTATGTGGCAATGAATGTCAGTTATTAAAAATTTGAACTTAGAAAAATTATTATGTTCCCATTTTTTCCGAATAAAACCGAACTGCGCGTCACTGTGGCATGGCCTATTATGTTTAGGATATGGTTCTTTTGTGTTAAAATACGATCTAAATGTAACCTTTGATTTCATGTGTGTATTAATAAACTTTAAAAGTTACAATTTAGGACCTCACTCAACAGTGGCGCCATCTGGTGAGGCAGAAAACGGTAGCCCTCATTCAGGAGGCAATTAAGGGTCATCCCCACTCTTACACCCTAGATTGTCCCTGCGGCAGGCATGTCAGTAGGCGCTTTAAGCAACACCACTTTGTTTAAGTAATTTATTTAAGGAACTTTTTCCAGGCCAGGGCCTGGCGAAATGATCAGGGACCGATCCATTGAATTCAGACAATAGGATGCGTTCCTATAGAAGAAAAATTGTGCGGAATTGAGCAGTTTTAAAAAAACCATTGTATTGCTCAAAATACGTTTTTTGTATTTTGTATACCACAACTAATTTTGTCATCTACAAATATCCTTGTATGATGACCTCGATTTAGTAAAATAAAATTGTAAATAACGAAATAAACACGGTATGTTCAAAGAACGAGAGATCACGGCCTCTGTTGTGACTATCTCCCTGTACCCAGATCGGTAATTTATAAGTTACCATTTTCATCCTACACCGCACCTCACTAGCGTCCAGGCATGAGCACCACGTTAAGATATTAAACTCGTTTTTATCACGCTCAATTGTCAAATTACTATGGAGTTTAACAGTTAGACGCGATAAAAAACTTTATTTAATATAAATTGTGGTGCTATGCTACAGGAGCAGGGTAAAAACTCGAGGCTCAAGCTTTTTATTCCTGTTTTAATATTTTTTTTTTGTGATATATTGTTTTTAAAGATCAATACGTATTCGTAGAGCGATTCCTCTTCCGGGCGTTTCTTCTATCCTATATTTGGACCTTTCTGTTTTCATCATAAAATTCATTTCGTGTTTTTAAAAATGCTTCAAATGAAATCGTATCTAAATAAGAAGTCACCAATAATTTATCCATAAGAATTTATCAAAATTGTTCTAAAACCATGTAAAAGAGACAGAATTATTAAAATTGCTGTCGCAATGGAACGTTCCACATATCGATCGTTGGAAATTTTATGTTGGTACTACTGTACTCTGACGTAAAATTGACCAATAGTTTTGGGAACGACAAGGAAAACAACATAGACTAAAGCGTCATATTTCGTCAAGCATTGAGTTATTTAGAATCTTAATTCCAAAGCCATAAGGCTTAAAAAATATTACGGGCTATGGTCTTGCATAGTGAAGCCGGCCGGCATTATCGTATCGAATGAATGAAGGTCACTCACTCGTTCGTTTGAGCACGACGCTTCTCTCTTGAGAACTTGAGAGCTTGATTCCTCGACTCGCTCGATGCAATCGCCATTTTGTGAAATCTTACTTTTCAACTCGTAACTCGTGATAACTTTTCAATTCGATACACATTGAATTGAAGTCGTTCATTTGGCCTGTGGATTGATTTTAGCAATCGAGAATCGATATTGAATTGAATCACCATCATGAAGAAAAAGTGTTCATCGGCTGTGTGGCGATTTTTTGATCGAATTGAAAATGAAGACCATCGATGTTTAGCGGTGTTGTGCAAACTATGTGATACGCAATACAAGTTTTTCGGAAATACTACAAACCTAAGGACTCATCTTATAAATAAGCATCGATTACAATGGGAATTGTCACAGAGCGACACGTTCGATGAGACAAGCTTTCGCGTGGATGATGAGGAATCTAACCAATCATCGGTAACACCTAAAAGAAGAAAGTATTCTAAAGGCTACAAAGACAAAAACGTACGTTACTCAGTATCAGTTGATAATCCAAGGAATAGCACTGACGAACAAATCCCCACCATTGAAATACAAAGGGTATTTATAAATTATGTTTAGGTGCTCAGATTAGGTTGTGGTTTTATCTGACATTAATAGCAGCATACTTTGTTGTATGCTGTTATTAATGTTACATTTCAATGTATAATCTTACAAATTGTCTTGAAATCTGTTAAGGCATCCAGGAATCAGTTGTTGAGTAAAGCTATTAATTAGTCTAAAGATCATCAAAACAAAAAGCAAGAATTTGTTTGTTATCCCTTTGATAGTTTTATCTTTAATTATGACTACATGTTTTTCTTCTGTTTTAGGTAGATGTGTTAGATACCTCTATCGTTGATAATGACCAAAATGATGCTGAAGACAGTGAAGCAACATTCAATTTAGTTAGACAGCTTCATGAAACAAGAGCCTCTGATGAAGAGTGGCTTGAAGAAGATTACTCAACTGCACATGTAACCTTTGAGTCAAAACCAAAAAGGAAATACAGAAAAATCAAAAAGGAAGTCCAAAGTCCACCCCCATCTCGCCGAGTGTCAACATACACTCCACAAACTGTGACTTATGATAATCCTTCACCGATTATTATCGAGCAGCCCTCGCAAACAAAAGATGAATATTCTGTTTTTGGAGAGTATGTTGCAAACAAATTGAGAAAATTTAAAGCACCTCGTACTCGTGGTAATTTGCAGCAATTAATCACAACAATATTATGGCAAGCAGAGTATGGAGCTTTTGACAATGCAGAAGCAGTCAAAAGAGTTCTGCTGTATACTGCTCATGAGGCCGATAATAAAACACAAACTGACTCTATCATGAAAGGTGAAGAAGCAAACCAAAGTGGTGACTCTAAATCCTTAATTGAAAGTCAGGAATAAAATGATTTAAAATCAAATGTCGACCATGATAAAGCTGTGTGAATTAAAAAAAGATAAGGTATCAATAAAAATAAAAGCAATGGAAAGTTGTTTATTCATTGAAAACCTTTTAGTGTATTTATGTTCTTCTGAGTTGTCACACTTGCTACTACTTTGACTAAAAGAATAGTAAGAGAATGTAACAGTAAAATTAATACTTATTCTTATAATAATTTTGTTATTTAATAAAATATAGAGCCAATAGGTTATAAAATTTTCTACCTACACTTTAAAAAAAACTACCATGTAGCTAGACATGTCCACTACCACTAGCTCTACTACAATAGTGAAAGGTGCTGATTCGAATCCAGCCTGATACCTAGGGCAAAAAAGAATTCGTTCTTGAAAATTGAAAATTTTTTCCAGGTATAAAAATCTAGCATCAATTTCAACCACAAGCACCCATAATAAAACAGTACTTATATTAATCTTTTACCAAACTGAAATTTTTTAGATATATATATTTTGTTATAGATACAAAGTTTCACAACCAATGGAGTTGAAATTATTTAATAACTAGCGGCCGCTCGCGACTTCGTCCGCTTAACTTTATTTTTTTGAGAATTCGTCAGAAACCTATAATTTTTTCGGGACAAAAAATGTCATAAGTATCAATCAAAATTCATCCAAACCCGTTCAGTAGTTTTTGCGTGATGGAGTATAGTTCCAATTTTAGTATATGGGTGCGGCCAGAGTGCACTCAGATTCAGATTCCGAAAACAAGCGCGAGAAATAAACAGTGTAGTCGAAGGGTACGGCCAGAGTGCACTCCTGATTCAGACTCAGAAAACAAAGCGCGAGAAAAAGCAGGCAAGCTGCTTAGACTACACTGTTTATTTCTCGCGCTTGTTTTCGGAATCTGAATCTGAGTGCACTCTGGCCGCACCCTATGTACTGCCGAAGCACGTACCGCGTGATGGAGTAACAAACATGTCAAATCCGGCAAAATTCTCTAAACCTAAACGTAAATTTGACAACTATATCCTTGTCATTCTTAAAACTTTGCTTAAAACAGAATGAGAAGGAGAGACTGATCTTATTTGCTGTTTGTCATTTTGACAGCATGTTGTCCTTATTGTGCTCCATGGAGTGAAAAAGAGAGATTGTTCTAGTGTTTACAAATAGCAAACACGAATAGCCAAGTGAAGTGCCGGCATAAGTGTATATAGCATTTTTTATAGATACCATATATGTATGCCTAGGGCTGCCATCCGTCCGGGTTTCCCCGGATTTGTCCTAGTTTACGGGGCGTCCGGGGAGCGTCCGGGCGGGGTTTTATTTGTAGTCCGGGTTTAAAAATTTACGGCAACGCATGAGTGGCCCTAGGTGCTGCAAGTGTCCATGGGCAGCAGTGACCACTTATTATGAGGTAGACGGCTAGCTCTTTTGCCTAGATCAACATAAAAAAGTTGATTTGTGACATTTTAACTGTTTTTTTATTGGTCTGTCCGGGTTCTGGGCTTCAAAATCCGGGGTTATCACGCGTCTTATCCTGGTTGCCACATTTTAGAGATGGTAGCCCTATGTATGCCCATCAATGCTGCTGCAGCTTATTTTATTTTATCTTTAATGTTAATTAAGCCCCTTTTATAATAATTATTTATGTTAAAATAACATTTACTCCAGTCGTTACTCTCAAAGTAGAGATAGCTGTAGCTGTCTTAGATTAAAACCAAAAGGGAAGATACGGCATTCGCGGCACAAAAGTGATCCGCTTAAATTGTGGTCCATGACCATAATTCGCTTTAGTCACAATTTGACATTCAAACGCGCTGCATGTACTTACACTCAATATAACAATATTGCGTATATTCTGTGTTATAAAGATATAACAATGCCTTCGATGCTTTTATTAAGAACACAAATAGTTCAAAAGCAACACTATTCATTCGTAAAACTGTGAAATAATTTTTTTCTCAAAATTCACGGTTTGTCGTGAATATTATTTACGTAATCGCCATTTTGTAAGCAAGAGAAGGACAACTATACGCTGCGTTGCAGCGTATAGTTCTGTCTCGCTTGCTCGATTGATGTTTTTAGACAGACGTGTGCGTGGCGAGAGTTGCTTATGTAGTTGAGTCGGATCATATTTTATTTGATACTAGTATGAGCGTACCCTATCTACCCTTTTTGTTTTAATCTAAGGTAGTTGTACCCTTAGCATCAACCAGTTGTTGAATTCGATCTCTAAGGTACGCGTCAAATGTCAAGAAGTTTTTTACTAAACAGCGCAACAACGGACGGAAGAAGAATTAAAATCTACCATATAAAATCTTTTTTGATTTGACGCGCATTGAAATCGAATTCAGTATTGGTTCGTGCTATGGGTACAGATATAACTATTGATAGGTACTTAAAACATGCCACACCTGTTATTTGAACCTTGCTGGATGCTTAACTTTAAGAACCTAGTTACTACGGTACTATATTTTCATATTCCATATAAAAAAAATCGCAACCTAACTACAGGAACAGGACACTACAAAATATTGTGTTGGCTGGCTACCATTGTACTGATGTAAGGTAGGTATAGGTAGCTAGGTAGTGCATTTACTTTCAATGTTATAAATCTAATAAAATAATATACTAATCTCTTAAACTTCCTCACTTACTACATGTAGCTATTATGCAGGGTCTAAAGGTCAATGGTATGGTAGCCACACCACAATACAACAATTCAATTTCTGTTGGTTAAATTCACAGACAAGAATTGTCTGTGGTGAAATTGTATTATGAGAATATTTAGGTCGGCTGTTCAGCTCATAAACGACCAGGATGCGACTTAATTGCAGTTTGCACTTCGAATGGCATGTCATTATTACTCATAAACATGTGCGCTGAAAGTATGCGGAATAGTATTTCAGCGAGGACATGTCGGTGAGAATATAGTATGGCTGTAGAGAGCGAGTAGTCATGTGAATCAGTCTTGCATTGCATGCTAACTCAGGTATCGTAAGTAGTTCCTTTACATAAATAAATTAAACAGAAGAAGGACCACCTTTCCTCTGGCTTCAGGCAGGAGTCGAGGGGCCGGTAATTATTTGCTATCCAGGCGACAGATCGATAGGTTTTCTTGCGTTATGAAATAGGAAACTTTTACTTTAAATAAAATAAATCTATAAATAATTTTATTGAAAAAAAAAGTACTTCGGCTCATTACGTGTCCGACTTGCAAACGTAGGGTCCCGTACCATTGTACAAAAAAACCGGCCAAGTGCGAGTTGGACTCGCGCACGAAGGGCTCCATACAACAAACCGCGCAAAAGGAAATATAATTTAATTGTTTTCGTCACAACTTACGAAGTACATAATGGATCGGTGTTTTGAGTATATGTTGTTTAAATTCAGCATATGGAGCAACATAAACCAAAATTTAAATTTCCTAACTTGTTTAGATAACCCGTAACAAAACTGGTCTAAAAATTACAACTGTGACGAAAATATTAAAATAAAATTACCTATGTCTATGTCCAACTCAATGAGTTCTAAAATGTGTCACTGGTGGGGTAAAGATGATAAAAAATTTGTCTCCTTTTCATGTATGGGACCATATATCTGGGGGCACGGCAGTGCCCCCGCCAAGTCGAGCGCGAAGCAAACACCTTTACTGGAACCATTTCGCCGCATTTTCAGGCCTCTATTTGAGAACCTCTGGATAAGACCAGAACGCTAAAATTTTCGTCACCCAGTAAGCTTTAATAACTTACTTAAAATCCAAAATTTCAAGTCTGTAGGTTATTTAGTTCCGAAGTTAGGCGAAAGCAAAGTTTCGCATTTAAGACACTCACTCACTCATGATCATCAGAATAGAACTAGTACTTCTCATAAACTCAGAGACCTGAAATTTGGTACAGAGTTAGGGTTTAATGACCACATAAAGGGAAAACTATAAAAACTAGGATAATCGAAGATATGAAGAACCTGATGACCCTGATTAGAAAAAACAAGAGCCCAATCAAACTATTAGAAGAGATCGACATACCACCTTTACAAAAAATATTCAAATTGGTGGGCCGCTTCATTTGATGTCAAAAATCGAAGGTCTGAAGTATCTGATGAAGAACCCTCAGCTGGTCTCAGCTGTATTAGAGATATGGTAATGCCCCCTTCTACTATTGGTACACAAGAAAATCGACTGTCATTCCTAAAATCCAGCGTAGTGGTACACATCTTTTAATTTAATCTAGGCTATAGCGTCCCACTGCTGGGCGAATGCCTCCCCTCCTACTTTTAATACGCATATAAATAAAATTAAACGAAAACTCTGGATAACACTAGACTGGCTTTTATACTTATACTTTTTACGAGTTTACAAGAAAAAATAGTCGAACGAATAACTTTATTCTATACGAATTTTTACTCTTGCGGGAATTACACTACCCAATTTTGAAGGACCCCTGCCCTACCCTGAGTAAGGGTGGTGTAATTCGAATAGGGTATTTGACAGTATTAAAAATAAAACGCCAATTATTGTTAGCATCTGTGTTTAGAATGAATATTGGCAGGAGTTTTTACTATTTTTACAACAAAATTTTACTAAAAACCCACGAAAAAAATAATAGTTTTCTTATCTATTGTCACGTGACCCAAAACGCTTGGGATTGGCGGAGCCTAAAATGACGTCACACGCAAGTAAACTTCCGGTTAAAGTGACATTACATTGTACACACTAGTAAGACGCCATATTGTCAAGAAAAACGTTTTCGCGGCAACTTGAAAATGGAGTTTTTGATTTGGTTATTTTTACTGAAATACGCAACAGTTTTTTTTTTATATCGAGGTAGGCAAATGACTCAACCCCACCTGATGTTAAGTGATGATAAAGTCCAAACGCGAAGATAGCTGGTACAGCAGTTATAAACTGCTACACCAACCATCCTCACCTTGCCGGCCTGCAAAAATGCTTCTTCACGCTTCTCTTAAAGGACCCCAGATTATAGGAAGGAGGGAACACGTGCGCGGGTAAAGAATTCCACTTACGAATAGTACGACAAAGAAATGAGTCGCCAAATTTCTTTGTTCGTGTAGGAATAGTGAATGATAA